TCACGATTCTCACACACTCACTCTCACTACTCTTCACACACACTCTCACTCTTTCGCTCTTTCACTCTCACACACATTTGTCCAAGGGAGGGGGAGTGGAGTTTGGCAGCGCTTATTAGGGGGTGATGAGTGCGCGTGCCTCTGTGATCACCACGGCGGCAGGGTCAACGGCTTCGATGGAGACCATATGGATTTCTTCTGGGCCGGAGATTGACGTGGACATTGGCACCTTTCGACTGTGGCTCGATTATCACAGCCGTGCGTACTGTGTGCTCTTTGCTGCCGTGTGCGCACAGCTCGCTTGTTGCTGGACCGTATCCCGTTCACTGCCCACATTGTTTCTGGCTGTAGCGCGCGAGGGTGCACAACAACGTCCTGAATGGCGCACCCACGGACACGACATTGTGCTCAACGACACCGTCGACCAATTTCAATACTTTAGCTCTATCGAGCCGTGGCTTCAAGAGCCGAGCGTCAAGCACCATCGGGACATCTTCTCCTTGCGTCGGCCTGCTCTTCAATCCCTGCTCACCATCTACTACAGCTTTCATTCAGAGATCATTCGTGACATCGTTTCTCGCTCCCTGGGTAAGCAAGGTGGCTTGTGACAAGCCATGCCTAAATGCCCGGCGGGAAAAAAAAAAAGATTAAAAAAAAAAAAAATTCAAAACTCACACTGCACTTGTTTCGTTAGCCCGTAATCAGCGCAAGGACCTCGATGAACTGGCAGAGCGCCACCACATTCCTCTCCGGTCTTGCCGGCGGCAGGTGACCCTCTCATGCAGCCCAGATGCTTTTGCCCCAACTTGGTGCAACGCTCATCCTCGGCCGTGCCGTCTTCTTCTTCTTCTGCATACATAGTTTGACAATCTGCGCCGGATACTGAAGCTCGCGGAAGACTTGGAGGGTAACATTCACGAAGCCATCTGCCTACGCTTCCAGCTGCCGTCGGACCTTGCTGCGTTAGTTCTAAGAGCTCCTGTGTTGCATGCCAATGTCTCCTCGCTGGTCAAGGCGGGGGATGAAGTGAGAAGTGATCGTTTTGAAAACAGGTCGTGGTCTCACCCCGATGTTGTGTGTCGCCGACGCCACGTATCCACTCCAGCGATTATGCTGCCATGGCCTTTCTTGTCGACAATCGACTTGCCCTCAACAAAAAGGTGCGTGCGTCATTGCATTGAGTTACCTGGCCTACGTCCATGCACCCACAAGTCATCGCACAGCCTGATCCGCCCCGCCCGGATCGCCCTCTTACTGCCCCAGCCGCTGCTCGAGATTCCATTGCGCAACTTCCTGGAGGCGGCGCGCGTCATGATGGAGCACTGGACGGCGCCTGCCACCCAACTTGATCTTGACAAGGGTTTTCTCAAGGTGGGCAAGCCCTCAACCCGACCGCCGTGCGTCGAGATGCTTGGCTACCAAATGAACAAAGAAGGCAAAGTATGGCTGACCCAGCCGTCCGTGCATCTGCTCTCGCCTGCTGGCTACTGTAGGCGATGCGCGACCTACGAAGTGCTTTGTTTGAGACACGAGACAGTGCTGAAGAATTTCGCAGGTGCGCCGTCCAGCCCAGCCTTACGTGCATGACAAACTTCCTTTCTGCGTTTGCAGACAACGCACCTCACTTTGCCCAACTCGACCTCTCCCCTAGATTTTGCATGGAAGGGCTGAACATGCGACCGGAAGTCTTTGGCGTGCTCAAAACCTTGTTTGCCACCATCGCAGGCTTTTCACACACGCGCGATTGGCGCGATGTCTTTGAAGACTTGGTCACCTTGGTTTGTTGGCTTCGCCTGCTCACCTCACGAGTTGGGCCCCACGCGTCGCTGGCACCCGACTCGGTCAACCCTCAAGCTCAACAAGGGGTGAATCGTTTCGTCCCATAGGTGATTGCTCCGCTCAACAGCGTGCCACTGAGCACGGCCGACTTTACAGCTTTGCTGTCCCACTGCCCGAACGCCCTGCAGCAAATGACTTCCGTCTCCGGCGCGGACAAGAGCACGCTCATGCCCAACTTGCAACGGTATGGCATCGGCTGACCACGTCGACGTGTGCCTCTTTGTTTGCATTGTTCCAGTCTCACTGCCGCTGCGCACCTCCCCCCCACCCCCCAACCCCCGCTCCCGACAGCATGACGACGGGCTGTGCCCGAATCTTGGTGCTCCTGTGCTAAGAAGCGAAGCAGTGATGCGCTCACGGTTTTGGTGTCTGTGGGCCTCGTGTGCCAATCATTCTGCAAGAATATCGTTTCTTCATGCACTGCTCAATCTCCAATTTCAATTCATCCACACTCGCTTAAAAAGGAAGGCATAGCGCGGCCACGCTCATCCTTGATGTATACATTCACATCAGCGCCCTCACACTCACTTGACTGGGCCCAGCGCAATCTGATAAATGGTGCAGAGGCTATCTGGAGCATATTCTGTCACGCCCTCAGCAACAGTGGTCACCACACAGCCTCGCTCGCGGAGTGCGGCCATCAGTTCCTCGGTCGTGGCAAAAGTAGTGGACGTCTGCGTCCCGCGATTGCGATAGCACATGTAGCAAGCCATCTCCGTGCCGTGTCGCTGGCGATGCGCCTCTAAAAGTGCCACCACCGTGACCACATACGGCTCGATCAATTCTTTGAGCCACACGGTCTCAGCTCCAATGAGCACATCGGCATCGGCGGGATGGCCCTCCTGCAGGGGAAATTGCTTCTCCAAGCTCACGGTCCAATCCAGAGGGCGCGCAGCTGCCCATCCGTGCCCGACTGCACACGTCGCCGGCCCCGGCCACGAACATTGGGCCGAGCCGTCAGGGGCCTTCGATTCGGGAGCGTCAGTGCCGTAAGCACTGTTGCGCGCAATGTTCATGTCCAACATCTCACGCACAACCGACTTGACATCGGTCAGGAGCGTGCGAGCTCCAAGTGTTGCAATAGCCAAGCCTAAGAGCCCGGTACCTGAGCCCAGTTCGAGGACCTTGCAAGACCGCAATGCGGCTTGTGCTTCCTCTTGCCACCAGGCCAGCATGTAGTAGCTACCCTCCCACACACTGCATCCGGTGGCCGCCGCCACCGTGTAGTCCTCATCGAAAAAGGAAGCATCAACTTGCAAGTCTTCCTCGATGTTGCGACGCAGTACCGCTACCCTTTCACCCGTAGCCAGCGTAACCGCCACCTCCTTGAACTCGGGAATCTCCTCCTCCTCCTCCTGCGACCCGACACCCGTCGGTCGTTGGTCGCTTCCCTTCTCCATGACACTGGTGGTACTCGCCGCCATGCCAACAATTTCGTGCAAGCGAGAAAGTAACCACGAGGCTTTTGATGTGATGTGTTGAGGCTTTTTTTTTTTTTTTTCTTTTTTTTTTTCTTTTTGGGATTTTGCACAAGGTTCGAGTTGTCTTTTGTGAACACAACAGCATGCATGGTGTTCTTTGGGAAACTGGTACGAAGATTGATTGGCACAGAGGAAGCCCGTTGATGGCATCGCCTACTTCAGGACACCAGTCTCAAGTTTCTAGGATGAGGAAGCGTTGGCTTTGCTCTTCTGAGCCTGAATCCACGCTTCGATCTCGGCCTTCAACTCTGGCACTAGGGCAGGCCACCAAAGGAGGTGAGTTTGTCTCGTCAACAACACTCTCAGCAAACACAAACAGGCACGCGCACAGGCACAAATACAGAAAGTGCAGGCGCAGAAAAGCCTGCGACACAGATGAAACTGCTCTCAGAGGGGAGAGCAACCCCTGAAGATTGCATTGCGCTCACCTGGCTCGAGTTGATCGGGTGTCAGAGGCTTGCGACTGTACGGATCGATGGGATCGGACAAAAGATGCTGAATGATGGAGGAACGATCCATGACAACCCCGCTTGACGGCAGGCGTACGGGATCACGCATTAAATCAAACATGATTGGATCTGTGATGGAGGACAAGGGAGTGGTGTGTGAGCGCGCTTTGTTGTCGTCGGCCGTTACTCTAGCCGTCGACTTACCCAGGTACTCCTCGGGAACGTCACCAAGATTTGCCTCTTCATCTTCAGCCGACTGCTGTAGCGCCTACTCACATTAAACCACAACCCCCCGATTAGCTAGGCAAAACGCTGGGGTACACGACACGGGGCTAGCTGCACAAATATCACGAGCACAACGGATACCTCGGCCTGCTGCAGCAGTACAAGATAAAGGTCGATGATATCCTGCGAGTCAACGACGGCAAAGAGGCACATTGAGTTGATTCGAACGGGTTGACGCGAGTGGCCTGTATGAAGCTGGGCCCACGTTCGTCTGATCGTACCGAGGGCATGCCAAAACCACGCAAATACGTGGCTGCTTGACGCAAGACCACCAGGTCAAACCGGGCATCCTTGTACATCGCTGTCAAAAAGTGTTCCTGAGAGTCAGGTCCACAACATCCGCAGAGCAAATAATCAGGGCGACCGCGTGAATGGAAACTATGGCGCTCGGTCATTTTGTATTCTGTGATGAGCCACGGAGCAGCTATCAAGCACCACCTACGTTGGCCCGGTCGGTGGGGCTTTGCAACTGCGCGGCGTGCAGGTACACCTTGATGACATCCAACAGCAAGGCTGGTGGATTGTATTCGTACTTTTTGCATGCGAGCAGCTGTGGTTGTCATTCCACCCAAAAGTATTCATCGAGATGAGAACTCACGGTACTCTTTGGAAGGGGGAGGGGGTCTCTCTCTCGCTCATACCATCTGCGCACACGCGCACGCACGCACACACACACACACTTACGTCCAGGTTGGGTGCGTGGGGGCCAACAACATGGCGGATGGTCGAGCTGAGCATTCCTGCCAGGCGGCCCACCACTTCATCACTAACGCGCGCAGTGTCCAACCAGTGAGAGCAGGCTCGTGCAATATTGGCAAAAGAAAACACACACACACACACACACACACACACACACACACACACACACACACACACACACACACACACACACACACACACACACACACACACACACACACACACACACACACACACACACACACACACACACACACACACACACACACACACACACACACACACACACACACACACACACACACACACACACACACACACACACACACACACGATCTGGGCGTGCAGCAAAAGGCACAGACCGGAGGAATGGGTCCACGTAGGCTTCTGTGAGGTAGCTGAGCATGGTGACTGATTCAGTTGCTAGAGGGATAACGCAAGCACACCGACACGTACAAGCGGAGGGAAAGGGGGTCAATGAATGCGGGCAAAAGAGATCACACTTTACGGAGAAAACATCAACGGGGGGCTTGACGAACAGAGGTTAGCATAGCTGACGGCCATATTCTCATTTTCTGCGAGATACTTCTCGGCCTACAAGCCACATCATGCACAATTCGATTGTAAGTCGTACATCTTGCACGTGTACAAGCCACATGGGCACCTGCGTGAGCTACAGAGGTATGCACGGTTACAATGTGCATAACGCACCTCCTCACGGGTACGGTTGGAATCGTCCCATTCAGATTGCTGCAGCTGGGCCTGGAGCACCTTGATCTTGCCGAGTGCTTCGTGCACTAAAGTTAGGCAAAGGAGATTCAACTGAATTAGAAACGCGGGGGCGCCTGCCACAGATTTAAAAGGCGCGGGCGCGGCACGGTCAACCCACCCACCTTCATCAATGTAGTGGGTGCACTCGTTAATGAGCAACATGACAAAGCGCAGAAAGCTGTCACCCTTCATGCTTTCAATAATGCCCTGGCGACTCCGCTCATTCTACGACCCAGGGTGCATGAGGCCTTGTTTTGCAGCATCATTCCCCGGCCATCGAGCTCCTGACCAACCTTCCACAAATTCTTGATGATGAGTTCAGCACCATGACGCGCGCCCACGGTCGTAGACATGTCCAGAGCCTCACAGTCTACAGCAAGTCGAGGTCCAAGAAGCGTCAGTGCCCTAAGCCACATGAGGTCGACGCAAATGGATCCGAGCCTTACCGACATAAATCTCCATCAACGCCGGGCCCAGGGCCTCTACTGCCAGTGGATGTTGCTGCAGACGCTCAAACAACACTCGAGACAAAGGTTCGCTTGCGCTGTTGTTGGCGACACGGAAGCAGGCTGACAAGATCTGATATTCACCCACGATGTCGTCAAGTCAAAGTGCCATGAGCGAAGATCTTAGCACGCATATCGTCCGGCGTGGCTGGCCCTTCTTCCTGCGTCTCTCTCTCCTGCGTATCCAGATACGCAAGTCTGACCTCAACGATGCGTGCCCGGGGATGTGCGCTGGGCAAGTAATTTTTTTCTTTCAAGAAGGTAATAAGGAAACGGATGACTGATTCGATGCGCTCGTTTTGAGCCAACACCACCGGCTCATGGCTACACAAGGCCACGATTTGGCATGGGTCAGCAGTGCAAAGCATCATGCTGGCTTGAAGTTATCAGGACCAACGCGAGCCCAACCTGGCTACAAAGAGGCAAAACTCGATCAAGTCCGTCACGCAAAATTCTGGTAGCGCCTTGTATGCGGCCGGGGGCTAAGCACAGCACACAATGAGCAATTGTCATTTGCTCAACCCTTTTCAAAACAAGGCTCAGCAAGACATCTGCCGCGGGTCATACAAACAGCTCAGGCAGCACTCACATCAGCCGCCAAGGGCAAGCCACGATTGTCAGGATCCACCTTCGCATATCGAGGCAAGCCGAGTGCCCAAGTCAGCGGAAACGACTGGCATGGCTAAGACCGCGAGCAAACTGCGCATGTGTCAAGAAACACCGCCTCAACGTGGCATACCAATCGGAGGATCCACTCGCAAGCTGCGGCCACAAAGGACGTCGCGTTGTGTAGAAAGCCTGCGGCATGGCATCGGGCCAGTGAGCCAGCCAAAGGATAATCGGCGCGCGTCAGTCAGTCTTCAGGCCGGCTGAGTGAGTGAGTAATCCGACTCAACGGACCTGGAGCACGAACGTCACTCTCGAAAGCAAAGTAGTGCTGCAGAACGTTGTCCAGCCGCTTTTGCAAGTTGGTGACCTCGGCCTGACGATTTGCCGCGCGAGCGTTCTCAATAGCCCGCCGATATTGGGCGATGCTGCGAGCACAGAGACGGCAACATCGGACTATGACTGGGCAGCCACGGCACGCTCGTCCGAGGTGGCAGGACCAGACACTTTGATCAACCTACATGCCACCACGACCCTCCCATTCGTTGGAAAAGCGGGAAAGCGTCGGCATCAATCCCACGTGCATTCCGTAAAAGCTCAGAAAGAATTGGCGGGATGTTTCCTACCACCGGCAGTTTGGTGATGAGGAAGAGATGTGGTGTGAGTCCAAACGCAATGAAGAAAGGAGAGCAGCTTCCGCGAACCTGAGAGCGAGCATCCAGCTCGGGAAAGGTCGCTTCTTGGCGATACTTTTCAAAGTCTTCATCAGACATAATGATGCGAGACTCCTGCGTCATAAAAAATGAGAGTACCCCATAAGCACTTGCGCCTGAGCTTTTGGCAAAGCAAACTTGTCCCGCAAAGCTGGGGAGTGAAAACATCAAGGACCCTACCTTGAAGGAGGGCGGATGCGTGCAAAGGCTACGGAATAGAAAGGTGGGATCCACGGTGGCTACGCGGGGCGAGCGGATTAGCTTTTGGCTCAGCTCAGTCACGAGAAAGGAGACGTTGTTGACCATATTGTCCGAGCTTGTGAGATTCTACAAGAGGCATTTTGCAAAACACGGGTCGAGCCAAATGAGCAGACCAACACAAAAAAGGAAAGTGCTACAAGCAGCAACAGGCGCAGATCAAGGTGACATGGGCACGCACGCCGCCTGGAACGCGCTGGAGGTGAAAGGCTGTCGTGGCGCGCTTCTGATTGATGTTGCAGCACATGATGAGAAAATCAAGGACGGTGTCACGAAGGTGCTTGCGCCTAAATCAGCCGGATTGCAAAGCCAAAATGTCAGCCGAGCGAGAGGGCAGCTCCGCACAAGACACAGTTGTGTGACACGGCCACAAAGCAACAAACTTGAGAAAAATCTTGAAGACATCCAAGAGGCTGTTGCGATATGTTTCAAGAGCACCGGTAAGGCGGCCCTTGGCCTCTTTAATCTTGGCAGGATGGATGCCGCCATTGTTCACCTCGAACATGTTTGAGTGATCGAATGGCGGGGGTTGCTGGAAAGGTGCCACCTAAATAGAGGGGCACCGAGAACCAAGATTGCTCAGCAGATGCTTCGGTGGTTTCACGGCAAAGGATGGAGGCGGAACATGTGACGCACGGTCATGTCAAAGATGGTGCCCCCACGCATAAAAGGGCCAAGCAAGGACTGGTGCTCCAAGGAGGCTCCAGTTTCCCAGGCCTGGTTGAGAAAGGAAGGATGCTCGATAAGAGCAGAGACCAAAAAGTCTCCTGCCTGATCCCAAGCACGCAGGAGCTGCAACAAAGCCTGCGCGTGATGCGTAGCATCAAGGTGAGCGCACGGCATGGAACGAAGCCAGTTGGCGTTTCAGTTGATCTGCAGCCCAGGACAAAGGGGAGAGAACGAGAGAGAACAAATGTACAGGCCCAAGACACACCAGAGTGGGCTGGCTGATGGCGCCTACTGTCTTGGCCACAAAAGTCTTCTCACGTAAAGCCAGCACCGTGTCGAGCAGTGCCTGGGCAAAGCATGCAAAATTAGGTCCATGCTCAAGGCCAACGCCGCTGGAGCTCGTGGCAGCATGTCAAAGGCACTCACCTGTCGCATTTCTTCCGCATCTTCTGTCTCAGCCTCGCAAAGCTGTGCCAGCTGCGGCAAGAAGTTGTCTGGTATCTTGGCCTCCATGAGAGCTGTAGCCAGATCCCGTGGTGGATTACTATAGGTGACCCAGGAAAAGTGAGAAAGACTGGCTGCGGCTGCGGCGTGTCTGTGGCCATCAGGTCCAGAACAGGTGTGAAAGCCAAAGCAAACAGACTTGGCCGAGACGAAGATGTCAGGAAAGACCATGATAGTGCGACTGTAGCGCAATGCAATATCGCGTGTGGCAACAACCAAACGATGTAGCATTGAACCCTGCATTCGCATCGAGACAGTCACGAAACGTGAGCAAGCCAGGGATTGAAAGCGGGCTAGAGCAACATGTGTCTGACAGCCGGGGCGTGGGGTAACATCTGGCGAGGGCCAAACCTCAGCTGACAAACGAAGACGCTGTTCCGCAGCACCAAAGCATTGGGTCAGGTAATTGAGACCTGTGGCCAGGGTGGGATTCTGGCTCTGGTTAAGGCGCGCAACGATGCAAGTATCCACGATGCGGAACTCGTCTGCAGATACAAGATGCCCGTCATGTGATGATGCAGACGTAGCGACCAAAATGAGTGTTCAACGCGTCGATGAGACTCTTTTTAGGTGCATGACAGCAACGAAACGAAGTGGGATGGTGTACAAGACAAACAGACAGGCTGGCGCGAACCTAGGTCGGGCGTTTGGGCAAACTCGGTCGCCAAATGGGGTGCCTGCAGGGAACTGAGATGATTAAAATCATAGGCCGTGTGGCTGTGCATTTGCAGCGCCCGGCTGCGCACATCTGAAGCCGTCTAAATGACGACATCCCATCAAAAAAAGAGGCGACTAGGGTGAGGAACGCAGCCGCAGAGTTGGCGCAGACCTGCTTCGGCAGACGAACCACGTAAGTTATGCCCAGCAACGTTTCCACGTAAACGACCACGTCTTCGTATAGAGCTTTGGGCTCGCTTGGGGGGGCGTCTGAGGTCACATCCATCCCCACAGAGGCAGCCGGGGGCGTCTTTGGCTTGCCTTGGGCACTGATGATCCAGAAACGGTGGGCACGTGTGGTCAGGATTGGAAGACGCGTCGCAAAGCAACCAATCAAGTCCCTAACAATGTCTTGACCAGAACAAGTAAGCGGCTACAAACATGCTCAAAAACGGATTGTCGGGCTGGTGCTTTGCTGCGGCTGGTGCGGTGGCAGGCTTGGACGCCGAGTTGGCCTCCGATGGCACGCGAACCTGACCCCCAGCATCGAGAGGTGGATGAGCGATGTGTCACAGGGGTGTGGCAGTGAGTTTGGGAATGATACAAATAGCAACAGGCATGCAGGGCTGGGTAAAGGCACACGCAGTGGTAGCACCTTGCTCGGGCTGGCTGAGTTACCAAACTTGGCCAAGCGCTTCTGGCGCGGGTCGACGGCCGCCTTGGCAGGAGGCGCCTCGGGACTGCCATCGTCCGCCATGGTACCGTGCAGCAGTCCCCCGTGCCAGCTATGATATCCTGATCCGCGCGCTTGCTTTGACGGCGCACCTGCTGGCGATCTACGACGTCAAAGGAGCACCATCACGCCGCAGGTCCAGCAGCATGAGTGGTTGGTTTTGCGCGCGACGACACGTCACCAACAACAGTGTTATGTGCACCGCCCACACAGCCGCTTGCTCCACCTTGATTAGCCCTCCCGCTTCACCCTTCAGAAGCCCCACGAGGCCTGTCACTCAATAGTCCCTTTCTCCTCATCGCCATCAAGACACCCCAGCTCGGCGCTGCCATCACGACTCACTGACCAAGACTGAAGAGGGAGAAGAGCAACTGAGCCAGAGCCAACTGAGCCAGAGCTAGAGTTAGCAAAGAAATTAGGCAAACTGGAAGAGATGGTGCTCACCAGTGCAAACGACCAGACGTCAAAGCTGAGGGAAAGTCAGAGAACCCTTCCCACCACGATACACAATCAGAGAAGCTTCAGAGACAGGCTTAGCAAAACGAGTGACAACCACAAAGCAAAAGCAAAGCAAAGCAAGCACAAGCAGACGAAGGCAGTGAAATGACGAAAACTCTTTCTCACACACGCGATCACGCTCTCTCTCTCTCTCTCTCTCTCTCTCTCTCTCTCTCTCTCTCTCTCTCTCTCTCTCTCTCTCTCTCTC